TTGGGTTTTCCCAAACAGAACCCATGAGGGGGATTTTAATTTTCTAAGTCAAGAAAAATAGATTGATGTGATTTACGAAGAAAAATCAGTTTACAGAAATTTGGATAATAATTTACTGTGTTTATTTTTAATTCATATTATATATATATATATATTTTTTTTTTTTACTGTCAAAAAGTTCATACCAACTTAAAACATATTATACGTGGGGGGGGTCTCTTCATTTTGCACAAATATTTTTTTTTTTCATTCATATTATATATCTTACAGAATAAAATAAAACTAAAATTTATACTTTGACGAAGTGAATTTATTCGCGGATAAGATTGAGTACGAATATGATTCCTTCAAAATTATGAAGAAGAGTTTTCCAGTTTTTTTTTTTTTTTTTTTAAAAGGTGGAAGTAAAATACGATTGGCGGAAAGTCATGATCAAATGTGAAAAGAAATTGGAGAGAGGATGAGCAGAATTTGTTGAACCCACTCAAATCAAATTTCTCTAGTGGGCATATGATTGTGGGTGGTGGTGGGGATCGATTTTGAGACGGTGAGGAGGAAATAAATAATTCGCAGATGGAGATAAAAAGAGAAGCAAAAAGGAATCCAAGGAGATATGTATACGTACATAAAAACCTGCAACACCAAGAATTCAAGCAGTTTTAAGTACATAAAAACACCTGCATGGCATACAAAGATGTTTTGTAGACTCGATTGGATTTTCTTTTTTCTTGAACTTAGAAGCCATTTTGTGGGGAAATGGTTTTCTGTAAAAATAAAATTCTTAGGACTAATGATAAACTCATTCGGAAAATAATCACCTACGCATGAGTAGAAAGAAAACACGAGCAGAGACTGGAAAATATATATACAGTAGGTTTTCTCCGCAGCCATGCCAGAGTATGCCTGCATTATAACTTGTTATTAGAGAAAAAACGAATCTCTTCAACAACAAATTTTGGTATGTACAACATAGAAACTCATGCATCCGTACTAGGAATCCTAAAGGCTGCATCAGTTCTTCCTTGCTAGAGCAGCTGCAATCCCGCCAGCAACCAGTCCAACGGCAGTAGCAGCTATTCCAATGCCTATAACACCATCTGCATAAATGTGCAAAAGAAAAAAAGACTCAAGTCAGAGATTGTTTGGCTTAACTATAGCTCATAACAACTTTAATACCTTATAAACTATTACTTCTCTTAAAAAAAATAAGCTGTTGAGTTATTTAAATAACACAAACTTATATGCTGTATTTTTTTATGTTTGATAAAAATAGAAGCTCGTCGTAACATTTAGATAACCAAAAAGAGCACCAGTATAACATATCCAAGATATTGGGACGTTAGACTGAACTCCCAAAATTATTTTGAAGGCATTATATTTACT